TACTGTCACCTACATTTCGGCCTGTTAGGGTTCTTCTGAGGTGACCGAGGGATATCTGATGACTAGAGTTCAAGAGCGAATTCCTACTCTGGATTGTGTTTGCGATGGTTGTTTTTGTATAAGAAATTTGCGATGGTGTAGTTGCTTATTAAGCTGTATTGGGGTAGTTAATCAACTAGAGTAGAATCTGTTACCTGCAAATTGCTGTACTCATCTGTGTACCTGTTTAGGTCCGGACATCGGTGGCGATTTCGGCCCTTACCGCCAGTCGGAGCGCAATGCTCTGTACAAAGAGCATGCCCACAAGCTAATGGAGTCTGGTGCTGTTTATCGCTGCTTCTGCTCTAATGATGTATCTTTCTCCCCTCTCCTGACCTGCATGTTTCCCTGCTTAGTGAAACTTAAGTTTCCTGGTTCCAAGTTCCACGTATATGTACTAGCATAGGCTGTTTTTGTTGGCTCAACATGGGAGCTGATTAAAGTTCTCCAAATGAATTATTTTGGTTGCTTTGAGTAAAATACTTGGGATTTTGTGCTTCTCATGAAGAATTAAATGTGACATCCTACCATGACCACTATGCATGAATCATTTAAAACACGGTGAACAATTTGAGGGGCGTTATTTCGAGTAAACTCATGGGCTGGCCTGTCTGTAATATTCGCTAATCAAATAGTAGCTCGTCTAACAAGTGCTATTGATGCTTCAGGAACTCGAGAAAATGAAAGAAACTGCTAATCGGATGAAGATTCCTCCTGTATACATGGGGAAGTGGGCTACTGCTTCAGATGCAGAAGTTCAACAAGAGTTAGAGAAAGGCACACCTTATACTTACCGTTTCCGAGTGCCAAAGGAAGGTTCACTGAAAATCAACGACCTTATTCGTGGTGAGGTAATGACATAAAGCGTTTGAGCCTATGTTTTCAGGTCCACACTGTGAACTGCTCTTATGCTTTCTACGTTAGTAATCCAAAATTTGTGAATTGTGCAAGTAGCACAGTGATATACATATACTGACCATCGAATAGTTTTATAAAGGTCAGTTGGAATCTAAACACACTTGGCGATTTTGTGATCATGAGAAGCAATGGCCAGCCAGTGTATAACTTTTGTGTCACTGTTGATGATGCTACCATGCGCATCTCCCATGTTATCAGGTAACAGAAATTTATTACTCTTGGTCTTTACTTCTGATCATCTGGCGCATAATTCATGCATTTTCTTGTTTTTTCCAGAGCTGAGGAGCACCTACCAAACACATTACGGCAAGCTCTCATTTATAAAGTAATTTCCTGCACCTGTGTCGTGATTGTTGTCTTGACCTTCGAAATGTGTGATTATAGTCCTGACCTTCAAAATGTCTGTCTCATCAAATGCAATGTTATGACCCTGTGCAGGCTCTTGGATTTGCAATGCCTTTATTTGCTCATGTCTCACTCATTCTGGCTCCTGATAAAAGTAAACTGTCTAAACGTCATGGGGCTACTTCCGTGGGGCAGGTAACTAGCTGATTGTTGGAAATACATGGTGTTTACCTGCATCAATTATGTGACTGTCAAACTGCATTCTTGATATACTTCTCTCCAATTGTCTGTATTTGTTCAACTTAATTACTGATAATTTTCACATCTTCTCTGGACATATTTTACTTTTGAAAGGCGTAAAAGTGAAACACTCATTTGTTTTCTTTCTCTGAACAGTATAAAGAGATGGGCTATCTGCCTCAGGCAATGGTCAATTATTTGGCACTCTTGGGCTGGGGTGATGGTACTGAAAATGAGTTCTTCACCATTGATGACTTAGGTTAGTTTGTCAACTCTTACTCTGGGTGGTTTTGAAGAACATAAGGACCTTTTGTTTTATCAATTCTCACTTTGGTGTTCCATCACTTGCAGTTGAGAAGTTCACTATCAATCGCGTCAATAAAAGTGGAGCAGTCTTTGACGCAACAAAATTGAAGTAAAGCAAAATTCTAACAATTTTCATATTGCCAGGACCTTTCTCCTCACTTGAACATGTGAAGTTGTATACGTGCTTCACTGATCTATTTTCACAATAATCTGGTTTGTTTATAGATGGATGAATGGACAGCATCTACGGTCACTTCCTTCTGAATTACTCATCAAGGACTTCGAAGATCGATGGAGGAGCACAGGCATTCTTCTGGAGTCTGAAAGTGGTTTTGCTAAAGTAAGACTGGAATTCAATTTTCTATTTTTCTGTACACACCAGGGGTTCTTTACTTTGGAACTACATGCTAAAGGGATACGTGGATTTATTTGACACAGTATTTGGTTCTAAGAGTTCCTGTTTCTTTCTCACAACCACCAAAAGAAAGCGATGCACAAAACGCTTCTTAATCATCAACAAATCATTTTTCTTTCAAATGTTGCAATATCAGGAGGTTTAGGACCAGTTGCTATCCTGGGAAGCTTTAATAATAATATGCACTATTTTGCGCAGGAAGCTGCTGAGCTTTTGAAGGAGGGCATTGATTTGATAACAGATGCGGATGCTGCCCTTTGCAAATTATTGTCGTATCCCCTTCATGACACTTTAAGCAGGTCTGCAAAACACTTTAATGTCTCATTAATTCTTTATTTACCCTTTTCCTGAACTAACTGCGAAATTGTTGCCAAATATGTAGTCTTGCAAATTGCTTTGACTGAGTTTGGTAGGCCTATTCTGATCAATTACTGTTTTTTTATTTGCGTGTTTTTAATCTCCAGTGATGAAGCTAAATCTGTGGTGGAAGACAAACTTTCTGAGGTTGCATCGGGTCTCATTGCTGCTTATGATAGTGGTGAGCTTGGTCAAGCACTAGCTGAAGGCCATGATGGTTGGAAGAAGTGGGTGAAATCTTTTGGCAAGACTCACAAAAGGAAGGTCAGTGTTATTGAGGGCGGTTGTGGTTTGATTTTGTTGCCAACGGAATCTAGGGTTGTTCCTGGGCTGTTTCAATGGTCTGGCCAAACCGTTGGAGCATCTAAATTAATTTTAATTTTGGACTGCCTCAACAGATACATGCAAGATTTATTACCATATTTTTCAGCCTGAACTGAATCTATAACTTCTGGAAGCAACCTATCTCCCACCTAAACCATGATAACTAGAGAGAGATGTTGAAAATACAGCTAACAAATAATTAGTTCAATACAAACCTTGACAATCCTGGCTGATATCAAGTTCTTCATTCAGCTCCGTGAATGGTAATGCTTTTCCTGGCCATATACAACTGAAAGAAACAACTAATGCACATTGTATTTTTGTATTAACCTGTGATCAGGGAAAGTCACTATTTATGCCACTCCGAGTACTGTTGACCGGGAAGCTTCACGGACCTGCCATGGACAGTACCGTAATCCTCGTGCACAAAGCAGGCACCTCTGGTGCGGTGGCCCCTCAGTCTGGTTTCGTGAGTCTCGACGAAAGGTTCAAGATCCTGAAAGAGGTGGACTGGGAGTCACTGCAGAAACAACAAGAGTCCCCTGTTGAATCTGCCGTTCCCGCGGCTTCGTAAATTTTTGTAGGGAATCCAGAACAATCATATAATGTGACTGAGTGATGGCTTGTTACTTTTTTTTTCGATTTATGCATGTAATGAATTTTGAGGGTATGTGCTCCATCTTGCTGTACTTTTTGTAGGTTGTGTTGCCTATTTCTTCCGTTGCTGGGAACACTTAGGACACGTCTAGTAAGATGTACGAATAGTTTGGCGCTTAATAAAGTGTTTTTTCCCTGTATCATAGTACAAGTTGATGCTTCAACTGCCAATATTTGATGATGTACTACATAGATATTTTCTACGCCATGTTCTTTTATTCGTAAAACCAATGATTCTATTTTATAGTCTACCAAAAGAAAAGAATTCTTTCACCTTTGAGAAATAAAATAGAAAATGCCTCTCGAGTTCTTGATGTACCTGAAAAATGCATCTTCGAACTGAAATACTTACTCCGTTACAAATTTAGTTCATTTGAACTAACACCACACACTTATTTAGAATGGAGGGACTACATAATAACATTTAGACATTTGCTTCATATATGAATACGCTAGTGTAAGCATTTGAAAATAAAATTTGTAATATTTTTATAACTAATTTATTGGTACTACTTTCGCTTGGCCAATCAAGATCCTATTATTGTAGTTTTAGCCATAACAAGAGAATTACTGTTATTGCATGAAAAACACCATTTGTTTTGGGCAGCCTTTTTTCTTTTTTTGTGATGGATTGTTTTAGTCAGCGTTGGTAGCATGGTTGAGAGGATTCATATAAACCACCCGCAAAAAAAGAGAGGATTCATATAAACCAGAGCTAGATTCAATCGCGAACTGAGCGTAGCTCTAGTTTGGTTTCTTGGTGGGAACAGCCTATCAAGGTTCAAGTTCTAGACCGGTAAGGGTAGGGTGTGCATGCCTTCATTCACAGGGGTGAGTGTATGTGCATTTATATGAGCGTTCGCGTTTGTATTGTATTAGAAAAAAAAACTTGATTCACTTGAAAAAACCCCGATATGACTCACATTTGAAAGGAACCCTAATGGGTCATCTAGATTCTACAAGGAACAAGATTCCGGGAATTCATGTTTTTTGCATTCTTTTTAAAAAGTAGACAAGTACTATTTCACGATCCCCTACTCTTTCCTGCGGTTTGTGAATTTTCATCGGTCCAAATTTTGTTTTATACCCATGAATAATATATAAATTTTAGCATTTTAAACATACACTGTTAGTTCTTATTAAACTACAATTCGCAAAAAAAATCCTACAGGCAATTACCATTCGCCCAAAAAAAAACTATTAATTACCCCAAAAATGTTACACTTGCAAAACCTGGGCCAAGTTGGGGTTTAGGTCGCTGCTCCATAGACCCGTGCCCACGACTTTCTCGCCCGACCGCTCCTTTTGCGCCGCCGCCACCGCCGCATCCGCGAAAACCTCGCCCCCACTCCCGCCGCCGTCTCCGCCGCAGCTCCGGACCCCTAGAATCCGAGCGGCGATGGCCTCCTCCATACTCTCCGACTGCTCCTCCTGCGCCACCTCCCGCCTCCTCCCCCTCCGCCGCGCCCTCCACCCGCCGCCGCCCCGCTTCCGCCCCTCCCCCGCCCCGGCGCCGTTGCCGAGGAGGCCTCTCCTCGCCGCCGCCGCCTCGCTCCCGCTCCTCCCCCGCGCGCGCCGCATGGCCGCGCTCGCCGCCGCCTCTTCCGCCGACTCAGGTGTGCGCACCCATTTCTTCTTCTCCTCGCCTCACTAGTATAGTACAGTTTTAAGTATTCTATTGTGTACTGCTGTCCCCTTCAGTGAGCTCCCTGAGCAAAAGCACAACCTTAGATAGTCCTATTTTTTTTTCGAGTTAATCCTAGTGTAGCAACGGATGAATTACCCAGAGAGGCTTGTTAGTTGTTACATACGCGTAGCTGTAAATCCTGTTCTACATCATGTTGTTCCGGTGTTATAATTGTGTTGATGGATGGGTTTTCTTGTGCAGCCACTGTTTTGGCTGATGCATCTGCCAAGATCATCGACGGCAAGCTGGTGGCAAAGCAAATAAGGGAGGAGGTCGGCGTTGAGATCGCCAGGATGAAGGACACGATCGGAGTGGTGCCTGGGCTGGCGGTCATCCTAGTCGGCTCGAGGAAGGATTCCCAGACATACGTGCGGAACAAGAAGAAGGCGTGCGATGCGGTCGGTATCAAGTCGTATGAGGTTAATTTGCCAGAGGACGCTTCCGAGTACGAGGTCATCAAGCACATAGCAACCTTCAACGATGATCCGTCGGTGCATGGCATCTTGGTTCAGCTGCCCTTACCTCGCGTGAGTTCTCAATAGCCGCTACTCAATGGCTAGTATAATTGTTGAACCCATTGCCTGAAGGGACTGTCATATTTCATCTTACTTAGTTTTTTGTTGTCTAGCCTACTCCCTCTATACCGAAATACTTGTCGTTGGGGAAAACCAGTACAAGTTCCCCCAGCGACACGTATTGTGGTACAGAGGGAGTAGATATTATGTAGCGTGCCACTGAAATATGTACCAGGCATAATAAATCTGTTAAGGCATCGATAATGGCAGATTCCCTCAACCCTACACCAAACATTCCCATTTATTAATTCAAGTAACTGCATAGATGTTGTATAATTGTTACAGAAGCCATCTGGTTACATTCTTTAGAGCTCATGGATAATAAGGTGAACACATTTTATTTTATTTTGGCTAATGGTCATATGCCAATTGTGGTTTTGTGTTTCTTGTCAGCGTTCTATTAAAAATGACTATCTATACTGATTCTTGAGCTTCTTTTTTCACCTATGTGTTCTAATTAATTTGCAGCATATGAACGACGAGAACATATTGAATGCTGTTAGTATTGAAAAGGACGTTGATGGCTTTCATCCAGTGAACATTGGACGACTTGCAATGCAAGGTCGGGATCCATTCTTTGTTCCATGCACCCCTAAAGGATGCATGGAGCTGCTACACAGATCTGGAGTTGAAATAAAAGGGAAGAGAGCTGTTGTAATTGGAAGGAGCAATATTGTGGGGACGCCTGCTGCTTTACTCTTACAAGTATGAACTAGTTTTTCATTTAACATAGTTTGATCAACTTTATTTCAGTGTTTAATATGTTTTCAAATGATTATTAGAAAGCAAATGCAACAGTGAGTATTGTACATTCAAAAACCAAGAACCCCGAGGAAATAACAAGACAAGCAGATATTATAATCGCGGCTGTTGGAGTTGCTAACCTGGTCAGAGGGAGTTGGATAAAGCCTGGAGCTGCTATTATTGATGTTGGCATCAATCCGGTTGATGTAAGGCACCTACTCTCTTTTAGCTAGAACCTTTTCCATCTTCTTTTCCCGTTCTTTTCTTTTTAGTGCTAGGGTGATCTGTTTACTTTTAACATAGCCTGTTTCTCAATGGAAAAGCTTGATAATGTCTGTTAAAACAGTTATAATGCTGCACATTTTGTATCATGTTTTGGTTCAGATAATGCAAAACTTTGACAATCTAAGTATATGGGGAGTTCTGCATGGTTTTTCTGGGGAGTACGTGTTTCTCTTCAGGTCCCTCCCCGGGATCAAACTCTATGAAGCCCCGTGCTCCCACCATTGGGCAGATATTTATGGAAGTTGCAACTAGCGTAGCTTCTTAAGTTTTTATGAACACCACGTTTGGAAAATTCTGGTGAATTTGTAGACTTCTTATTTTAAGTTTGGGCAGCGCAGTGGTCAATTAATTCAGAACTCTATTAGTAGTACCTGGAAGGTTCTACTTGACTCATGTCTTCCAGTGTATATTTTCTCTTTTGCTGCCGGCGTGCCCCTTGCAGCATGTGTATTACTTTTCCTGCGTGGTATACTCACTGCTGATTTGGAATGCATCAGGATCCAGCAAGCCCTCGAGGTTACCGGCTAGTTGGAGATGTCTGCTTTGAGGAGGCCTCCAAGGTTGCAGGAGCCATCACACCAGTTCCCGGCGGTGTCGGGCCAATGACAATTGCGATGCTTCTGTCGAACACACTGGATTCAGCTAAAAGAATCCACAAGTTCAAGTAACCGGACAACCCTGTACTCAGAACTTGGGAGAGCGCTTAACCTTTGGTTTAGTCTACCAGGCAAGGTATTGCCAACTGTTTGATGCGCCTTTTGTTGGACCAGAAAAGGTCAACAAGAGCCGTGAAATAAATTTTTGACAGGGGTGAGAAATTTACCCCGGCTTCAAACTGTACCGTATTCGCTAATGTTCCATGAAATCCCAGTTCAATCTGTGGCACAACTTAGGTCAATTGAGATCTCAGTTAAGCTTGGACGAACCATATGTTATGCTTGTTTGCACAAACTGATTGGGCATATATGAGTGGTGGGCTCCCCTGCTGATGTGGCAGGACAGGAGAGGGAAGGAAACAAGAGCTCCAATGTCCAATCTAATCTATCCAGTTGGATACTGGATTTTATTAGCTGTCCCAATCCCAACTAGTTTATGTATGGTACACACACTGCACTCACAGGGATATATATGATGGTTGTTCCTAACTGCTCCCACTCACAGCTGGATGGGAAGTTAGCTGATGAACCATTTCTGTTCAGGCAAGTAATCAGTGCAGTTTCTAGACCACATACATATATATGTATGATATTGCTTTGCTTCTAAGTGTAGGGAGGGATGCTTGGCATCCTAATCCGTGGAACCGCCAAATAAATGAGGGCCGCTTCGACGTGCTGGAATTTCCCCTCATTTCTGCAGGAATTGGAGTGTTTTCTTATGGAAATGTTGCTGCACATGATAATAATCTATAACTATGACCTGGAACTGAATCAGAGGTGTGCAAAAGGTTTCTAAAATAATAACATGTATATACATGCACATCTGAAAGGATATGGCCCAATTATATGAGATGCCTGTGCACTTCTGAATCTTGATGTCTTGCCTTTCAACCAACATATCTCACCTTTCCCTTTTCTGGCAAGAGTGGCTAGTGCCTATATGTCACCCTAGAAAGGAAGTGACACTGAATACAGTTGGTATGGTGGTGTGGGCAGATGGAACGCATAATAAATAATAAATAGATGATGTGATAAAATAATAAGACAAAGTGGAAAAAAATGATTACAGAATATCATATCAGGAAAAGGGAAGGACAGTAGCGGTTGTGCACCGTTCCTTCAGAGTTAAGATACCCCATTTGGAACACCTGAGAACCTGCTGGATTATCCCAAACATATTTGTATCCTATGAAATTCCCGCAAAAACTCGTTAAACTTACGAGGTAAAAACAAGTTGTTAAGATTATCATACGGACATATCTTAATTTCATCGTCCTGGTGGAAGCTACATGTAACATATACTTTTGGAGGATATTATTGTATCTTATACGTACGAGATTAGCTGTTGACAACTTTTGCTGCTCCCTTTGGTCTAGGTCGTTAAACAACTCACGCCGTCGGGCGCAGCGAAATGCCGTTGAACAATCAGGGGACACATGACGCAACAATGTAGCAAGGGAAAACGATGGCATGGAGATGCAGCGGTCCTGCAATTATTTTAATTGCCATTAATGTGATATCTTTATTGTGTTTATACATTAGAGAAGAATCTTCACTGAATCGAGTAGCATTGCTTGTAGCATCGCACCGTCCCTACATCCATAGTGATATCGCTTTCAAGGATATGGTGGTTTCTTTCGGTTAGACTTGGATTACAAGCTTAAAACACCTTTTTCGGATCCTCCTGCTCCTTGCAAACATGCACTCCATCTGTTCCAAAATAAGTGTCGTGGTTTTAGTTTGAACTATTCTGAACCCTTCGAACTTTTTAGAAAAGTTGAACTATTTCGTATGAAATTTACGCATTACAGACACAGTGATAAAAACATTGCACCTAGCAAAAATCGCTAATGACCTACTCTCTTTGTTATATAATGCTAAAATAAATAACAAAAATAATAATCAGAATCACCTTTTGCAACGGAGACATGTAACTAAATTATTTTTTGGGACATGCATAATGATACAATGCTCTTTGAAAGATAGATGTGGATATAATATTGAAGGATAACAAATTATCTTACAAGTGAAATTGTTGTAATTTGCAAAGCTCTCTTTGTCCCAAGTTGCTGAACAACCCATAGCGGCAAGCATAGACCGAAATCCGTGTAACAACCATGAAGGGGGAATAATAAAAAGAAGCGCATCTGCACAAAGGATGAAAAGGATGTTCCTCTTATTTAATAATTCACATTATATCTTTTAGATGAAATGCGAGACCTTTATCAAATCAAGTAAGACTTATGTTTAAAAAAATCAAGTAGGATTTACTTACCACATAGCACAACATGGCGATACAACTAGCAGTACCAACGACAGTGGCGGAGCCAGGAATTTCCTCCTAGTTATTCATTGGTATTCATGTGTATGATACAATAGCAATATGATAGCAAATATAAAACAAGGTAGCAACAGTATACCAAAAGATCAATAATTCTTTGGTATTCCATGGAAATCCCAGGAAGACCTCTGGCGCCGCCATTGCCAACGATACAGTGGTTTCTTATGGTTCACCTTGAATGACAAGCTCAAAACACCTCTAAGGGTCCTTCTTGGCCGAGTCCCTAACAAAAAGTTCGCAGATTCAATTTTTTATAGGAAAGTAAAAATCATATGAAATAATTCAATTTCTACCAAAAAATAGGGGTTCGGGTCCGGAAAGGATACACTGGCTCCTTACGATTCGCCTTGGATTACAAACTTAAATTACCTTGGAGGGTCTTTCTAAACCGAGTCCATGAGAAGGTAGAACTTTTCCCAAATTGAATCAGACTCTACACACAACCAACAACTTGTACCTAAGCCCTCAAAGACACTCGAAATGTTGTTCAACAATTAATTACTCCCTTCGTTCCAAATTATATAAATAAATAATCACAAAATTAACTAAAATTGGCTTATCAATGGACACAAGCCTTTGAGTATTTGTGAGTGACACATCTTGATACAATCCCATTCCAAGATAGATCTACATATAAACTTGGATGATAATGTCAATTCTTAGAAGCGACACTATTCCAATTTGCAACATTCTCTTTCACCCATCTTGCTGAAGAAACCATAGCATCAAGGTAGCCTGAAAGTTTTTTAATAAAAATTAACTGTGAACAATCGGAAAGAAGTGGACATATAAAACGTGTTATATTCTTTCGACAAAACGTGAAATCATCATTGAACCAAGGAGGTCCTAACTTACCACCAATGTAGCACAACCGCTACATTTATGATGATATTTAGGTGTACCTAGGATACATTGGATTCTTACTGTTCACCTCAAAACAAGCATTATTTTTTCAACAAAATGTGAGATCTTTATCGAATCAAGAAGAACTTGCTTGCGCACACCCTACATTTATGACAATATAACTATCCCTAACAAGGGTACAACGGGTTCCACCTTGGAGTCGGGCTAGAAATCTATACTCATTTTTTGGTAGCAAGTTGTAAAAGTAGGGTTTGTGCTTTTAGGGCTTAGGGTTGGGAGGATGGGGGGAGGGGGTTGCACACATCTTGTTATAATCCTCTTTGAAGATCATATATTATATGTTGGAGAATAAATTTGTATCTCATAGACAATGATGGTCTGCAAGTGCACAAGGTTTAGTTATAGTCTTTCCGATGTAAGAGTGTCGATCCCACAGGGAGCACAAGAATTTGACTTTGTCTCTTGTAAAGACTAACGGAATTGTGCCTAAAAGTTAGTTGTAGACGAAAATAAAATTGGAGGTGGAAATTTTGCAATGTTTTGAGTGAAGTTCGATCAAAAGTAATTGTGCAAAAAGAAGTAAAAGAACATCACAGAGTAAATAAAGCGATGAAACTGACAACATGATTAAGGCATTCTCAGGGAGTCCAGATTCCCCACTAGTATGTGTCTAACGTAACATATGTGATTGCACAGTTATAGGTTGGATAATTGAGCCACTCTTCATGTTTGAAATTGGGTAGAGCCGAGTACAGTATACGAGCTACTTGTGTAGTCTCTGTATCACATACGCCACCACCGTAGTTTCTCCACTCCGATTCTCACTATGGTGATTAACGGGTTTCCCATGCACATGGCCGCACTAAGGGTTCTCCTTTTATCAATTGCAAAAGTGGGCAAGAGAGAATATTACTTTCACCTCTTTAACCCTATATCCCAATCTTTACAACGACAGTAATATGCTCCATGGCCATACACGGTGGAAATGCTGAGTGCCCCCCTTCATAACATTCACAAGATGCTATTAAATCAAACATTCAACAGAGGATCTCATATCTCTATAAGCATTTAGTGTTGGAAATATGCCCTAGAGGCAATAATATTGTATTATTATATTTCCATTTTCATAATCAAGAATTTATATTTCATGCTATAACTGTTATGATTCTAGAATATGCGATTCAGTGAAAAACTCATATGCACATGTGGAATCATAAATGGTAAAATATAGATTCCCGATCGTTCCTCTAAGACTAGCTTAGGTATTTTTGGTGATCACATTTTATGGATCTTAGAATATCATTAAGTGTAGCAACAATCCTAACAACATTGAGAGTATGATGTTAGAAGAATGATCATATTGAATCGACCCAAATCTTGTTTTTTATACTTTGAGATAATATCATCTGAAATCATTGGTTATAACATGGAGTGTTAGCATGTGTTTTCGTTCCTTAGACCATGAGAGTACCATAGTCACTTCTGATGTCGCTTGAACTATGTCAGTATTTCCCCAAAGATGACGGGATGATGCAGCACAACTACGGTAGGTATTTCCCTTAGTTATGAAACCCTAGGTATCAATCCAGTAGGAGAACCAAGCAACACTATATAAATGGCACCTGCACACAAAGAACGAATACTTGCAACCCGACACATATAAGGGGTTGTCAATCCCTTTTTCCGGGTAACGACGCCAGAAATTGTCAAGTTGGCGCGATAAAAATTGTGATAGATTGGATAAATAGATCTTGATAAAACGCGAAATAAAATAAGTAACAAAAAATGCAGCAAGGTATTTTTGGGT